ATGTATTCCAAGCTTTCAGAAATCGTTGAATACTGTACAACTGTATAATGTATTCCAAGCTTTCAGAAATCGTTGAATACTGTACAACTGTATAATGTATTCCAAGCTTTCAGAAATCGTTGAATACTGTACAACTGTATAATGTATTCCAAGCTTTCAGAAATCGTTGAATACTGTACAACTGTATAATGTATTCCAAGCTTTCAGAAATCGTTGAATACTGTACAACTGTATAATGTATTCCAAGCTTTCAGAAATCGTTGAATACTGTACAACTGTATAATGTATTCCAAGCTTTCAGAAATCGTTGAATACTGTACAACTGTATAATGTATTCCAAGCTTTCAGAAATCGTTGAATACTGTACAACTGTATAATGTATTCCAAGCTTTCAGAAATCGTTGAATACTGTACAACTGTATAATGTATTCCAAGCTTTCAGAAATCGTTGAATACTGTACAACTGTATAATGTATTCCAAGCTTTCAGAAATCGTTGAATACTGTACAACTGTATAATGTATTCCAAGCTTTCAGAAATCGTTGAATACTGTACAACTGTATAATGTATTCCAAGCTTTCAGAAATCGTTGAATACTGTACAACTGTATAATGTATTCCAAGCTTTCAGAAATCGTTGAATACTGTACAACTGTATAATGTATTCCAAGCTTTCAGAAATCGTTGAATACTGTACAACTGTATAATGTATTCCAAGCTTTCAGAAATCGTTGAATACTGTACAACTGTATAATGTATTCCAAGCTTTCAGAAATCGTTGAATACTGTACAACTGTATAATGTATTCCAAGCTTTCAGAAATCGTTGAATACTGTACAACTGTATAATGTATTCCAAGCTTTCAGAAATCGTTGAATACTGTACAACTGTATAATGTATTCCAAGCTTTCAGAAATCGTTGAATACTGTACAACTGTATAATGTATTCCAAGCTTTCAGAAATCGTTGAATACTGTACAACTGTATAATGTATTCCAAGACCGCAATGCATTGTAGGTATGAAACCTCTATAAGTCTTTTTATTATAAAGTCTTTTATTTTGAAAGGGTAGCACGTAATAGTCTCTAGACTAATAAACTTGTGGCCCTCTATATATTCACTCATACTCACTACCTCAACATTCATTATTTTACTACACGACACTCCTCCTAGCTGCGTTACGAAATGATGATTGTAAACATAATTTCTTTTCGTTGTAGTTTTTTAATTTATAAAAGGTGTAAAATGACAATTCTAACCTAAATCAGTTTTCCATGGAGTCATTTGGAACAGAAATCAACAGTAAAGCCCAAAGCACACAATTAAAAAGTGCAAAGCGAAATGCCACGAGAGTCGATTTGAGCAGCGTGTACGAACCAATTGTTTCTGATCAAAGCGCCTCGCGTGGTATTTCACTTTCCTATCGTGGGCTTAAGATAACGACCAACAGTGCATTTCGGTATTGGAATTCACTTTCGACTATTCAACGTTTTGAAATTAGCTGTATATGTGTGAAAAAAACATCGGTGATATAGTAATGATGTGAAAAGTTGTGAAAAGCCATGAATGATAGTGTGTTGTATATAGACATATATTGAGTCATATGATACATATTGTATGGTTTTCTATAGTTTTATAGATATATATTGGTGTTTATATAACTTATCTGATCTACCTGGTGAGCCATGGACTGGAGGAGCGTAACCGTAACAACAACAGATAAAAAACGTCAATAACATCACCCTGAGGTCGGACATCTTCAATCGTAAATTACACCTTCTTGAGCTTCTCTTGAAATTTATCTCTGGACCTGAAAGAAAAGAACATCTTGTGAAATAACAATTGATTTATTGACTCTGTCAACAGTATGGAAAAACTTTGTAAATGCTATGATTAAAATATACAGAACATTTACAATTTATATATTAAGGAAACATGATGTAAATCTGTAAAATTTCTGTAAATTTTCATAAAATCTAGTTTCACATASTGTATCGCGTCCATTGCACAAACTTACACTAGTTAAATAATAGAAAATTTTACACTAAATTACCCAACTCAGTTTGTAAGCCATTTCATTTTTTTTTTTAAAACAATGAGCTATTTTGAAGAAGAAAGGCAAGATCAATAAATTAAATTTACCTTACTTCGCAGGGCAGCTTAGTTTCTTTTACCTACAGTTTTCAACGCTTTTTAGTTATTGAGAAAACAATCTTTCACGATATTTTGCCGAGAGAAGCTTACACCAATAGTTGTTTGGCAATATTAKACAAATGAAAAGATGTGATCCAGTACTATGAGGTATAATACAAATCAACAAAAGGAAATGCTAAATAATGCAATACAAACGGAAGCTTGTGACATGGATGTCCGGASTGTAATTGACGTATTTAGACTTTTAAAGCCGCGAAGRTTTGACGGCTGTATTCGGAGGTTATCACACTTCCTTAAGATGATGAACATTTAGTGTAATGTAATATTTCCCTTGGATTTCTTGACTTTCTATGTGTGAGGTTTATTATTTTAATAATAAAAGTATTAAACCATTATATAATATAACAGCAAATGCATATATTTTTGAAGAGTTATATATGGGTGAATAYAATGAGACGTAGTTCATATTCTTAATGTTTAATATTGGATATCGCTTAATGGTTCTTTAACCTTATGACGTCATGCGATTTCCGGTGAAATGCATCATGGGTTCGACAAACATTTGAAGTTTTTGTGTCGAAATGTTTTTCAACAACAAGCATTGCGCCTAATTGTTCTAACTAAACTTTTAATTACATCTATCTCGTTACTGAATTTCTTAAATGTTAAAAAAMCGTTATTAAAAAAAATCGTCGCCCATGTTTTTTTTTATGAAACAGCCGCCATCTTGATACAATACAAGAATGTACTTCGTTACTTGTTAGCTATATTTTATGGTTGAAAACGGTTTTTGCATGCCATACATTTTTAGTTCAACAGTCACAGATCTTCCTGATACTAAGCGGCAATATAAGAAAATTTAGTTCCACCTAATAATCCGGCAAAGGCTATACCTTCCGTGTAAAAAGGCGAATAAAATTCCTTTAATGAGGATTGAATTGTGCATGTCATACTACTGTAGCCAAATGGCTTACTTTCTATGTGAAAAGAAGGCGAATAAAAATCCTTGAGATTGACTGGAGCAGGCAAACGTATAGTCATTAACACTCAGAACACCTGGTCATATTTATCCCTTTTGTGGATTTTACTGACGGGACTATACTACTCACTTTAACCATCGTATGTAAAACATACAACGGTCTTTATAAAAATATTGCTAATCRTGCTGTTTTTGCCAAAACWCWTTTCATGGCAGTTATTTTGATTACCCAACTGCTGTGCTTTTCTGTAAACCGATTGACAAAATTGACAAAAAGATAGATATGAATAAATTTACCGTTTTTAAAAKAATCTAACGGTTTSTATAATCTGGGCTTGSGTTACGATTACGAGGACAATCATGGCAAATGATGAAAGTGGATTATTTCCAACCAATGCAACAGTCAACCAATGTAAAAACAAACAAGGAAGAAATCTTTTAAAGGACTGTAAAATTATTGGGATCAGCAGCATTTCCATAATGAGGAGATTTTGTTTTTATTATCAAAATGTCTGTAATTTGTTTCTTACTAAGGCCCTGTAAATCCCTTAAAAATGCGATAAAAAAACTATTTGCTATACTTTCTGCGTTTACGATATCAATCTAAATTAAAGTACCTATTACATAGTATGGAAATAGTTCTTTTTTATGGAAAATGTCTGTAATTTGTTTCTTACTAAGGCCCTGTAAATCCCTTAAAATTGCAATAAAAAAACTATTTGCTATACTTTCTGCGTTTACGATATCAATCTAAATTAAAGTAGCTATTACATAGTATGGAAATCGTTCTTTTTTATGGAAAATGTCTGTAATTTGGTTCTTACTAAGACCCTGTAAATCCCTTAAAATTGCGATAAAAAACTATTTGCTATACTTTCTGCGTTTACGATATCAATCTAAATTAAAGTACCTATTAAATAGCATGGAAATAGTTTTTTTC